CATCCTCCGGATGTGTGAGGGATCTGAGGATGTGTGAGGGATCTGAGCGATCGGAACTGAGCCTTTAACATGCAGATTGAGCCGAAACTGCGGCGTCTGCCTGATGGTGAATTCATCTGCATTCGCTCCATATGCATCCTGGTCTTTAAARGAAAAGCTGATGAAAGAGGCAGGAACACAGGCTCAGTGGGGAAGAAGCTTTTAGAGGAGAAAAATTGTTTGGAAAATAGCAAAGAGAGGGGAGGGGAAAGAATTCTGCTGGGAAAGGAGCAAAACTGCTTTACTTCCTTGGAGGTCTGGGAAATACATTATGCAGAGCTCCAAACAATGTTTGCCAGCAGCAAGTCAGCTTATATGTGTCCATGGGGGGTTCCTTGTGTTTCTTTCTATTCTTTTTTTGCCTTTAATAGCCAAAATCTCTCTTTCCTGGGGCCCAGGATGATCTGTGACCCCGTGTTTGTGTTAGGACCTCGTTAGTCCATGTGCTAATGACGTGCTTGGGGCTGTGTGTGGGGACAGGGTCCACCTGGCAGCTCAGTTCCTGGGAGAGGAGTGCCTTTGACCAGGGGAAGGGTCAGCTGGGTCAGCATTGCTGGCTGCACTGGAGCAGCCTCGGGCTGCTCTTCTCAGCTCAGCTGGAGCTGTGTGGGTCTCTCTGGAGCTGAATGTCCCTCCCTGGGCTCTGGGGCCAGGCAGAGCTGTCCTGCTGGGATGGGGACACTGCCTGGTGGCTGCTGAGGAGCAGGATCAGTCCCTTCCCATCTGCACTGCTGTGTCAGGGTCTGCAGGGGTCTCTGAGCCCTTTGTAAGGCCCGAGGAGATCATGGTGGGGTTTGGCTTGAGTGATCCCTTCACCCTTCAGTGAGGGCTCATTTCCAGCAGGCTCCTGTCCCAAAGGTGTTCCTGGACCCTGGGACCTGCATGTTTCCTTTCCAAGGCAGCATCTGCTCCCCTGTGCTGCATGGGCATGTCCACACCACCTCCAAGGCCACTGTGGGGACCTGCAGCACATGGAGGTGCCCCAAGGAGGGCTTTGGGCTTTCTTCCTGCTTTAGGGACCTCCAGCAGCTAAAACATCTTCAGGAAGGGCTGAGGAGCAGGGGGGATCATGGCCAGGTGCTTTCATGTCTGTCTGCAGAGCTGGGGTGTGGAGCAGGGTGGGACTGGAGCCGTGACCCTGCATTCAGCAGGGAGGGATTTCCCAAGGCTCTGATCATTGGGGTTGTGCAACCTCTGCAGCTTTCCTCAGCTGAGACTTTCGTTGTAGAGTTTCTGACATTTTTGCCCTCTGGAACGAGCAGCATCTCTTCAGCACTCTCTGAGCCCCTGGATGATTTCCAGGGCTTTTTTTAATCCCTGCTGATGAATGGAGATGCGGCCCCAGTCTGCACAGCCGTGGGCTGGTGCTCAGCACGGTGGGCAGTGTGAGCAGGAGCAGTCACCTGTGGCCATGTCCAGCTCTGCTGTCCCTGCAGGGCCGGTGACAGCTCGGGGAGGGCTGCAGGAGGTTGTGGTTTGCACATGGCAGGGCTGGCCCTGCTCCCAGCCCAGCTCCACCAAGGACATCAGCAGCTCTGGGCAAGTTCCCCCAATCCTCTGTGGCCATGCAGAGATAAAAACCCTCTGCCACTTCACAGGGCTTTGTGAGGGTTCACAGGCGACAGCGGGAGCTTTGAAAGGGAAATGTTTAAAATGTTCTCTAACCCTCTCTGCACTGTCACACTTTTAAAAAATGTCATTATTTATCCTATCAGAAAGGAAGTGATTCCCCCTCTGTCTGGTCTTTGAATGCCCCTCTCTGCCAGGGGATTGCAGCAGCCTCAGAGTGCAAATCCCCTTTTTCCTGCTGCTTTCCAGGCTCCGGCCGCTGGACATCGAGTTCATGAAGCGCCTGAGCAAAGTGGTCAACATCGTCCCGGTGATCGCCAAAGCCGACACGCTAACGCTGGAGGAGAGGGACTACTTCAAACAGAGGGTAAGGGGCTGCTCCCAGCCCTGCTAGCCCATCCCTGAGCCCCTCGTGGCTACCCTGGTGCAGCAGTGGGTGGCCGGGATCCTCGGAATGAGCCCAGCTCGGAGCGTGGCCGCAGGGTGAGCACGCTCCCCAAACGCTTCCCGGTGTTTCTCTTGGACAGGGCAGAAGAAGTGTGGAGCTCTGCATCTCTGGGATTGCTCCTCCTGCCTCCTTTGTTGTTGTTGTTGTTATTTTCAGGCTGGTTTCTGTTATTTTGGGAGGTTGGTGGTGCTGCACAGAGGAAAACCCTTCCTCTGCAACATCAGGCACTGATATGGGAATCAGGAAAAAAAAATGTGGGTTTGCTGAGCTCAGCTGGGAGAGACTTTAGAGGGAAGCAAGGTATGAAATTCCCGTGGTTGGGAGCTGAGGAGGGGCTGTCTGAATCCACAGCAAGGCGTGGGCTGTGCTCCCAGAGGTGGGATGGCCCATCTGGGGTTTGGTAAGGGGCTGTAAATCCATTTGTGTGGGCCAGGGATGTGGCTGCAGGGCCTCAGCATTCCCTGCAGAAGGAAAAACCACCAAGCTCCTTGATCTGTGAGCTTCAACTGGAAGTGAAGGGAAAGGGGGTCTGCCAAGAAAGGGGCAGTTTTAGGGGCCACTCTCTTGGTTATGGAGTTGGTGACATCTCATCCAGGGTGAGGAGGAGAGGGGGACACTCCTTCCCACACCAGTGCCATCCCAGCTCTTGGTGCGCAGCCTCAGGCACTGAAATGCCCAGTCTGGTTTTGGAGTCTGAATCCAAACTGCCAGCAATTTCCTTGGCTACAGGCTGTCTGGAAATAGAGCTGAGGGTCACCCAGCCTGGGCTCCCTCGGCTGCTCAGGCTGAATGCACAGAGCCCTGGGAGGAGCTGGTGAGGGCACACCAGGGGTGAGCCCACAGTGCCACACCTGCCCTCTGGGATGGCTCCTGCAGGCTGCTGGCTCCATGCAGAGGTTACCAATGCACACATCTCTGTGTCTTCAGTGACTCTGGCACTGCCAGGTCAGTCTGGGACTGCAGATGTCACCTGGGCACCTTTGGCTGCTGATGCCATGGAACACCATGGGAGCGGTGTCTAGCTCTGCTGCTCTGCCCTGGCATGGCACAGCATGAGCTCTCCCTGTCTCTGCCTCCTGATTGTAACCAGAGCCCCCAGACCCTTCCAGGTGGAGGCAGAGCCCTCAGCCACATGGTGGGTTTGCTCACTCTCCTCATGCTGTCCAGATCCACTGGTGCAGACAAGAGGGCAGGAAATCAGGCCAGGTGGACACAAACTGGGACATTTTGCACTCATTCCAGTGTGCCTGTGTGTGAGCTGATAGGAGCAGAGACCTGTTTTACATCTGGGGGTGTAGCTGGTTCAGAGATGTGACGGGTTTGGGGTTTGGTGGGGTGGGCAGTGGAGCCCCAGCCTGGCTGCAGTGGAATGTGCTCCGTGGGGTTGGCTTTGGGGGTTGTTCCCCTAAACTCGGTGTGTGGGTTTGGTGGGGGGTGGGGGCTGGCTGGGGGTGTTCCCTGGGCTGGATCCCCTCCTTTGCCAGCTGAACTGTGGGACTGATGTGGAGTTATTGCCATGGGAAGTGGTGGGAGCAGGCACCAGGCTGGGCTGGGCTTTGCAGCCTTGCAGAGGGCTGATCCTCCCAGCTCTCCATGAGCTGAGCCTCAACCCCAGAGTCAGATTTCAGCATCTCTTGGCCTTGCACAGAGGCAGAGTCCTTAGAGGACAAATGTCCTTGTCCCTTCAGATCGAGTTCCTTTTCCAAGCAGCATAAACAAACACCAGGTAGCAGCATTTTTCCTCTGTGTTACAAGCCTGGCAGCTGTGCTCCGCTTTGCTGGGGCAGCTTAGGTTGTCTTGTTCTCTTCTTCCATCCCTGAACAACACCCAGCTCATATGGCTTCATCTCACCCTCTGCCTGATCTGTGCCTTGGCACTAGGTTCTTGCAGAGGCTCCAGGGCAAGCACTTGGTGGGTTTGTGGCAGGGAAACACGGCTCTCTGTGCCCTGGGTGGGCAGGGTTTAGGATGGAGAGGGAGGCTGCTGGACATTGCTGTGGTTGATGGGTATTGCTCAGAGCCTTCCTGGGAGAAGCTGCCATGGTGGGAGTGCAGCTCCTGCCTCTCCTTGAGCTGTCCCTCTGCTCTTCCCCCCCAGATAATGGCTGATCTTCTGGCCAACGGCATCGACGTGTACCCCCAGAAGGAGTTTGATGAGGACTCTGAGGATCGGCTGGTCAACGAGAAGTTCCGGGTGAGTGTGGGGCCAGACGGGCCCTGCAGCTCCAGGGGCTGCTCGGGTCCTTGGGGGTCCCTTCCAAAAGCCTCTGATTTCCTTCCAAAGCTGCTGTGCCCTGTCTGTGGAGTCTGCCTGGGACCAGGGGTGGACAGAGGGTGACCAGGGCTCATGGGGAAGGTGTCCTGTCCATGCTCCTTCCTCATCTCCATCCCTGCAGGGCACCCTCAGCAGCTCCACAGCCCTTCTCCCTGCCCTGGGCACAGGGAACAGAGGGCAGGAGCCTTCCCAGCTCTGGGCTGGAATTTACCTGAAGGCTGCCTGCAGCTCTCAGTTCCATGCCACAGGAGGCAGCGAGCAGTTTTTCAGCACAATAAAGTGGATCGGACAAATTCAGAGGAGAAAAAAAACCTTTTAGGGACTCTGAAATTCAAAGACACCAGCCTGAGTCAGGAACTGAGTTGGCCACAGCTTGCCAGATGCTGGGGGCAGTTCCCTGGGAAGCTTTGGGATACCAGAGAGGGGCTGGGTTTGGGCTGRTTTTAGGCTGGGCTCAYRTGCAGGAGATGCTSGTAGCCATCCTGGGCTGCCTGTGRGCCCTGSCAGGAAACACTGCTSAGGAACATCAGGGACAGACCAGCTCATCCCACAGAACTCTCCTGCAAACAGCCTGGCTTTGCACACCGGCTTGGTTTCCTGATGGGTTCTCAGGAACAAACCATGACCTTGCTTTCCCCTTTCCCCAGGAAATGATCCCGTTTGCGGTGGTGGGCAGTGACCAGGAGTACCAGGTGAATGGAAGGAGAATCCTCGGCAGGAAGACCAAGTGGGGCACCATTGAAGGTACCTTGCCCTGGTTCCCCAGCTCCCCAGCCCATCTCCCTGCCCTGGCACGAGGCAGTGAGGTCCAAAACCAGCAGCAGAAGTTCAGGTGTTCGTGGTGCTTCCTGCTGCTCCAGAACAGATAATTTCCCTGGTGTTTGAGGGCTGGAAACACTTTGGCCAATGCTCCTGCACAGAGTTCCTGGGTCTCTGTGTGTTCTGAGTGCTGGAGGGGACATTTCTGGGGGTCTCATGGCCTGGTTTGTGCTTCCTGCACAGTTAAATGCTGGTGGCTGCATCTGAGGGCACACAAGTGACATCCCTGTGTCTCCAGCCCCTGCTAGAACCTTCCCCTGGCACCTGTGTCCCCTCCACCATGCCTTTGGCTGGTTCTTTTGTGGGATCTCTTCCCTCTTCCAGTTCCCATCGGCGTATCCCTTTTTTCTCCCCCGTTTTACAGTCATGGTTTAAAGGCTGGATGAAAGCTCCTGACTCCAGCACATCTTCCCATTTCCCGTTCATGGTTTCTGGCAGCCAGCTGGCTCTTCTCCAGTGCCACCCCTCTCATCTTCCTTCACTTCACAGGTTCCTCTCATTTATGAGCCTTTTTAATGGGAATCCTGTGTTGAGGGATGGTTTAACAAAGCTGCCATCGGTGTATTTTGAAAGCCAGTTTATTTTGAAGCTCTGCTGCCCTCTCGTGCTGTGTCCCTGAACATTCTGAGTTTAATGGATTTCATTAAACTCACCTTCAGCACAGGGAGGCCCTGAGGATACAGCCATGGCTGTGGGCAGCCTTTGCACAGCAGTATCATGTGTTGTTTTGCCATCCCTGCGTGGTGTTTAATGGTTGGATTCAATGATCTTGGAGGTCATTTCCAACATAAAGAATTCTGCTGTTCTATGTATGAGCTTCTTTGGGTAAAAAAAATATATATATATAAAAAGGATTTGTTCCTCTAAATTGAGTAAAATATGGGGTAAAATAGCAGCTGTCAGCCTAATTGTGGTGGAGCAGCACCCCTGGATATTTTGCTGTTGCTAACACTCCTGCTAGCAGCCCTAGACAGCAGAGTTCCTGTCCTTGCCCAGCCCTGGGTGCTGCAGGAGGCTCATGGCTGAGCTACAGATGAAACTCTTCAGTGGAGAGGCGCCTGGTGCTCACTGCACAGCTCACTGGGACCCTTCCCTGCCTTTTTGGGGGGCCCAGGGGGTCCCAGCACTGTGGGACACGGTGGGAAGGGGCTGTGGGTGGTACAGAGACCCGGTACCAGCCTTGGAGCAGCACAGGGGACCCCTGGGTCCTGCCCCTGTGCCCCAGAGTGCCCACGGAGCCCTCCAGGTGAAGTCCCCAGGCCCTGCTCGCCCCAGGGCTGGCCCTGGGTGCCCATTGATGGTATTTTTCTCTCTCTCTCTCTCTCCAGTGGAGAACACAACACACTGTGAGTTCGCCTACCTGCGGGACCTCCTCATCAGGTCAGTGCCTGGCCCCAGAGCCCTGATCACCTGGTGGCAACCAGCACAGGGGACAGCACAGCCCAGCTGGAATCAGCTGCTGCTCTGCTCTGCTCTGTGCTCCATCCCCACAGCCCTGCCTCCCTCCCAACCCTCTGCTGCTCCATCCCCACAGCCCTGCCTCCCCTCCCAGCCCTCT